AAATTACTATTTCGTTTAAACACTTGTCGACTGTTATAAAATAATAATTTAAGTACTTGTCCTTTTGATGGCAACTTGTTCCCATAAATTTGTGTATGCAGCTCACCAATAAGATAAATGTTCTGATCACTAATTGATTCTATCGACATTGTATTGTTAAACACGAAATAAATTATCACCAAATTAATCCATTAAAAGTCAAACAAAAATTACCTACTACTACATTTGCTACTTGAAAAAAAGTAATTTAATTGACATTGACATTTTTGATATGTCAAAAATTAATTAATTTTCTTTATATACTGCATAATTTTGGTTTTTTTCCGTGAATATTGATAAACATTATAAATTCCCTGCCTAACAACGTAAATAATAAACTCAGTATTCACGTTGTTAGGCATCAGTGATTGGCCTATTTCAATATTCACTGTGATTTGAACCAATCTGGTTTTAAATTGGAAGAATGCGACTATAATTACATTTAAAATTGGTAAAAAGTAAGGCTAAACATTTGACAGATGTCAGATTTTATTTATTTAATTTTTAAAATCATTTAATTATCTACTTATTGGAGTAGATAAAGTATAGTATAGTATAGTATAGTAGATAAATTATAGTATTGTACTCGAGATTATGCGCACTATTCACTCGGATGATTTGAATCTCTAGTCTGACGACTCAAGATGCAAACCTCATATCTTTCGTATAATAATATACTATTAAATTGTTTAAAAGCCGTGCATAATATAAAACTTGGTATGTAAACACTTAAATTCGTTTTAATTTCTCCGGCATATAGTGGCGCATTGTATACCTGGCGGCTTAATTTATTTGATTAATATGTCTCCCGTAATTATACTTATAATAATAATCATTATTTATAATAAATATTACATTAAAAATGACTTCATCATTTTTAATTAAAGTAAGCATTTTTATTCTAAATTTTGATTTTTTGAATATCTTTAAAGTGTATAGTTTAAATATTTTTATAGTTTTACCTTCGCAATCAGCAGAAAAAATACTAATTGTTTGCTAATTTCGCCGAAATCATATGATCAACAATAACGAAGTTAGCAATGGTGCGCCCTTAATATGGATCACCCTGTATAGTATTGTATGCATAATTTGATTAATATTTCTCCCGTAATTATAATAATAACAATAATTATTATTATTTATACTAAATATAAAATTAAAAATTACTTTATCATTTTTAATTAAAAAATTAAATTTTTAGTGAACAAGTGGTTCACAGGGGTAATTTAGGATAGACCTATAGGGCTGAAATTTGGCACACATTTTTTTTTCCCTATTTTGAGTCAATTTAAGGGGCGACCCGGTTAATTTTTTTTTTTACCCGACATAACGACCACCCTAATATATATATATATATATATATACAGTTGTATTCATTAAAAAAGCGTACAAGAATTAGAATGAGAGAAAACTGTCAACATTATTGCGTAAAACCGGCTTTCCACTGACTTAAGTCACTATAACTGACAGTAGAAAATAAAAATGCCTCGTCAGTTAAAAAGGCTCAAATAGTATCAAGAATCGAAGAAGAATGGTCAATTCGTACTGTGGTATAATAGAAATAAAAAATCTATATTAAAAATTAAGCAACGCTGGGAACAGGAAGATTTACTAAACCAAAAAGTTGGTTCAGGTCGTCCCAAAATGTCCACCCCTGAACAGGATGCTGCTTTTTTGGGATATCTGAGGATTTATGGGAAACTATGCAACTATACTATACCTACTATACTGCTGGGAAGATATTAATCCAAATATTGTATTAAATTTAATTCAGTTCATCCCAAATAGATTGGCTCAAGTACCTAATAGAAAAACAGGGATGCATGACTAAATATTAAATTTTTTTTAATGTTTGGTTTTTTCATTATTAAAAGGTAATAATTTTTGTAATATTGTTTATTTAACCTACGACGTCAATGCTCTTTATAACCTATAGTAATTATTTTAATGACTTATGTCAGTGATAAGCCGGTTTTAAGCAATAATATTATTTTGACAGTTTTCTCTCATTCTAATTCTTGTACGCTTTTTTATTGAATACAACTGTATATATATATATATATATATATATATATATATATATATTTTACTTATATTACTTACTTCTCTTTTATAAGTATTAAATTTTTTTAATATTAGAGATTTGTTTTTTGTGAACTTAAATCAATAATATCATATCTCTTGTAAGACTTATTTTAATATGAGTTCATTACAATTGTGATCGTTGGTTGATCATTATTTAGGAGAGCGGGCTCGAGCGGAGCAAATATTTCCTTGTTCAAGTTGTCGCATTTAATTTTGCTGCGATTTGACGGGGCACAGTTTGGAGGATAAGGAGCCTTATTTTAACCTCAATTGGCCCTAAAAAATATTTATGGTTTACTTACCATTTTTGGTAGCCAACATTCCAATTTATAAATTTGTAGGTATATAAAAATAAGAATGGAAGATTTGTTTTAATCTTCCCTAAAAAAGTAGGCTGTCGACATTAAATTTTAATATCCCTACAGTTTTAATTCAAACATGTTTTTATTAATTAAATTATCAAGGCTTTGTAAAGGATGTTTCAGGGTTTAGTAGTAAAATGAAGCAACGGATGTAAGAAGATATTTTTAAAAATATTGCTCCTTTTGAAAGACAATTTGCTAAAAATTTTTTAAAATCTATATTAAAAAATTAAAATTGGCATTTTTTAACATAAAATTATTATATCCAGGAAGTGTGGGGCCCACACTTTTTTTAATTTGTATCAATGATATAAAAAGTAGTGTAAATGATTCATATATTTTGCTTTTTGCAGACGATACTACCATAACATCTGAAATCGTTATCGTTGACTCAATAGTGGGTAAAATAGATTCAAATAAGGTATCTGTTCAGGATTGGTTTTCAAGTAACTCTTTGAGTTTGAACTTAAACAAAACCGTCGACATGGTCTTTACCCACACCCCTTTTCTCCTACCTTAAACTGGAGTGAACATACAAGTAGCATCTCTTGTAAATTGTCTAAAAATATATATGTATTAAGAAATTTAAAAAACATTGTACCTCACAGTATGTTGTTATCAGCCTACTATGCATTAATACACTCTATCATGTCCTATGGTTTGTTTGTCTGGGGACACTCTCCTCATGCAAAAAGGATCTTTGGTTTGCAAAGCAAGGCTGTCCGGGTTATAGCAGACCTGGGTTATAGAGATGACGTGAAAAGTAAATTTATTCTATTTAATCTGTTAACACTTCCTAGCTTATATATTTACAAGTGTCTAGTCATGGTCAAGGAAAATATTGACAAGTTTGATACAAATTTGGATTTTCACAACTATAATACAAGACATCAAGATAATATTAGACTACACGATTGCAAGCGAGTAGAAATGCTAATAATTATTATGGGCCAATATTTTTTAATAAAATTGACAGCTCATTGAAACCTTTACCTTTAAAAAAATTTAAACTAATAATCAAAGAAAAAATTTCTAAAGCTTTCTATTCGTTTAAAGAGTTTTTAGAATGTGGATTGTAGTTTTTATGTTAGATATAGTTTTTGTGTTGAATGTTTGCTCATATTTTGTATTGGTTTACCTATTGTTTTATGTATTTCAAAACTTGACTTTGTTTTTATCACCAATAAAATTATTATTATTTTTATTATTAAGACCCAACAAAATATCAAGATAACAGGTCACCCGTGTTTTTAATCTTAAAATAACCTGAATAAAAAGTAAAAAATAAATGTATTTAATACCACATACATATATTTAGTAGGTAAATAGCACATAATTTTATACTTTTTATTAAAACGTAATCAATTTATGAGAGCGTTTTTTGATTTTTTTTACGTAATACCTGAGAAAACCGGGGTGGAAACTTTACATTGGCTTATCCTTGGTATTTTCAAGGTTATTTTTTCAAAATTCGAATTAAATACAGGGTGTCCCAAAATTAGTGCACCATACTTTAACAGCAGATTCTACGTGCAAAAATAAGAAAAAAGTCCCTATAAATATAGGTCGAGAAATGCCTCCTAAGGGAGCTACAGCCCCCGAAAAGGGAGCCCCTGAAGATGGTTTTTATCTAATATAAATAAAAAAGTAGAAACACCCTGTCACTTACTACATGAAACTGTCACCTGTCTTGAATTATTTTATTTTTTCCTAAACATGGCAGCCGTATTCCAAGGACCACGCGAGTTCATTTCTATGGTTGTGATTTAATTGTGAATTTTTATGCCATGTAAAATAATTTTCAAATCGATTTTATGCGAAAACGGTGTATGTTATCGAAGTTCAACAAGATGACCTTTTTTATGTGCAAAACTCTAAAATTTCATAATCTGACACCAAATTCTGGTACAAGATACGTACAAAAAAGTTAAGGTGGTTTTAACCCTACTTCCTATCAATCTGACCCAAACCTCATAAAAATTTTTAAATTATTATTGTACGTCTTATTGGTCATAAAAAGTTTAACTAATTACCCAAATTTCACTTTTATATCTTTAACGGTTTTGGAGATATTAAATAAAAACCATCTTCAGGGGCTTTCCTTTTGGGGGCTCTAGCTCCCTTAAGAGGCATTTCTTGACCTATGTTTATAGGGACTTTTTTTCTTATTTTTGCACGTAGAATCTGCTGTTAGTAGTATGTATGGTGCACTAATTTCAGGACACCCTGTATATTGAAAAAAAATTAAAATTAAAAATTTACTATATTGAAAGCGAAACAATTGTTATTTTTTTTTAAACAAATAAAATAGTGAAACTTTAAAACAGTGTTGTTTTAATTCATATATTAATAATATGGAGTTTCATCAAGTAAAGGTCGAAACAATCAATAATAAAGATTCAAATAAATTGTAATTTAAATACATTGTGTTATCAACAATAGTTACTTACCATAAAAAAGCATTCCCCTTATAAATACTTTATAATATTCAAAAACCATTAACTTTGATTTTAGGGCGAACCAACATCTCCGCAACCTTCCATTGATCGACTTTCCGTAACGTTTGCCGAAGACTCCGTGAGAAGCGATAGTTCCACCAGAAACAATTACTTTAACCCTCCATCAAGCAAAATGGAGAAAGTTCACTTTCCGCAACCAACAGGTATTTTATTTTATAAAATTAATATTGATATTAAATTTGGTTTAATAAACAGATTCTTTATTTGATTTTTTACAAAGAACCTGTTTTAACAACCTTAAATTTTTTAAATATAGTTTACACATTATATTTGCTTAATAAAAATATTAAAATGTTGGGCCAAGACGGTGAAGAATCAGATGCTGAAGATTATTCTGCAAGTGTGAATGCAATTATCCAAAGAAGAGCTTCGACTAGAAGAACAAAAAGAAGAAACAGTAGGCGAGCTAGTTCGCCGTTTAGTCCAGATGTATTACCAGGGACAGAAACTGTAAGAAGATCTTCTGTATTTACGACTAGTTCTGGAGAGTGAGTACCTACTTAGCTTTTTTAAATACATATCAAAATAATTAGACCAAAATAATGTTTTAATGAATTTTTACTGAAATAGATACTGAAATAAAAAAGACGAAAGCGGCAACAATGTGCAAAAACATTTAAGTCCAGTGCCTTTAGTAATTGACCCAAACATTTCGAGTACATTTTATTCTTTGTTGCTCTTTCGAAGGGGGCTTTAATGGAGACCTTAACTCCAAATCTAAGCCCTGTCCAAATTACCCCTTCCCCCGCCATCTTGGATAAGTTTTTTTCAACCGCTCATATCTCGCGTTCTATTCGCTGCACAGCAAACGTATCGTTGCATTTGTTATGGTAAACTCTTTAAATAAGTTTATAATAATTTAAACCCTCCGATGTTCCAGAAAGAAGTTATAGCGTCCACAAAGTGTACAACTTTGCCAACATTCCTTTCCCTCAGTTTCTCAAGCGTAACTGCTCTTTTCAAGTTTATCTGAGACCCCAATTACCCATATAACTATTAAAATTAGACTCTATTTTAAGTATTTAAAAACAAATCATTCCGATTGGTTGATCTTCGCTGGCCAATCCAAGTTAGCACTTGCTGGCTGGGATTAAACTGAAATTTGGCGTAGCTATGTAACTTGACCATGCAATATAGTACCATGGTAATACTTTTTTTCCATCTGTTAAATATACTATATTTATCAAAATAGTTTTAAAAATGGTATCGCAAAGCTATTTTAATTTTTAAAAATTTTCATACCATATTTCATCTTTTCCGTTTTTTATTTCTATATTATTTTTTAACACCCTTTATAATTATTATACCATGCTTATTCAAAATTAATATTCGTACAAAAATTTAGTTTTATTAGACACGAGCGAAGCTTGCCACCGAGAGTTTAATAAAAACAAGTGTACAGACTGTACATTATCTACGACGAACACAAAGAATAATTTAAAGCCAATTTTATTTGTTTAACATTTGACATATGTCAACTGTCAACAGATTTAATCTCACTTTTTACCAATTTATATTAAAGCCAACTTTAGCCCGTGACTAAAATGCCCAAAAGCCACTGATGCTAACTTTAGCCCTTGACTAAAACGGCATAAAGTCACAGCTTGTCAATATGGGAGTAGATAAAACATGTTAAAAGTATGGTGCCATGGTAATATGGTACTATGCTCCACAGTGTGGAGCATAGTACCATATTACACCCAAAAGCCCCACCACAAATACCAACAATTTTTGGTTTATTTTCTGTCAGTTTCAAGCTAATTTCGTCTTATTTTTTAGCAATAATACAATATAATAAGTATATTATTATTACCTACATATGATTTAGTTTTGGTGTTCGAAATTACCAAAGTCACGTGGTTGGACTGTTGGGTGTGGACCATAATAAATACATAAGTAGAGTTTGCTAATTAGACAATCTTATGATTCAAGAACTATTAGAGAAACAACCATGCAACAACAATGTCCTAGACTCTAAAGTATAGAGGAAATGAATATAATGGGAAATATTACCAAACATGTGAATAGCTTAAGCTATTTACATGTTTGGTAATATTTCCCATTAGCTAATTAGCTTCAAGACTTAGTGTAATAAGGTTTTACATTTAGTTATATTAAAATTATTTTTTTTTAAGTTTTTGGTTCTTTTTTGGCTTAAAATTAGCTCTATAAATTAATAATATTGTTTTAGCAATAATACAATATAATATATTATTATAACATATGATTTAGTTTTTGTGTTCGAAATTATCAAAGTCACGTGGTTGGACTGTTGGGTGTGGACCATAGTAAGTACATAAGTAGAGTTTGCTAATTAGACAATCTTATGGTTCAAGAAACAACCATGCAACAACGATGTCCTAGACTCTAAAGTATAGATGAAATGAATATAATGGGAAATATTACCAAACATATGAATAGCTTAAGCAGTGGCGTATTTAGGATTTAGCTCCGGGGGGGGTCCAAAAAAACTAACTAAATATGTACTCCCTGCTTAAAATACCCCATAGAGACCCTGTTCAAACCGATAGATATTTGTATCGGGATGTATGGTGTTTCTATAGGGTGTATCGGTTTGTATAGGACCCATAATTGAGATTTATGGTTGTTCTATAGGGATATCCACCGTTGATTTATTTGCTATCGGTTTCAATGGGGAAAATACACATAAATGTAGAAATTAGTTTTTCCCCTATAGGACCCCATAGGTTTTAATAAAATTTTGTCAAATGTTTTATGGTTGCTCTATAGGGATATCCCTATATATCCTTCATTGAGTTATTTGCTATCGGTCTCAATAAGGAAAATGTAAAAGTTATGGTGTGCCTATAGGTAATTTCCTATACATTTTCTATCGGGCTGTATCCGGAAAAAACCATGGACAAATGCACATATTGAATCCGGTAGCGCCCGATAGATTATTTTGTATAGGTCTCTATGGGGTATTTTAAGCATGGCTATGCTATGCTTTAATAACTAAAAAATCACAAATTAGGAACTCTTCTGATCCGATAAAATAGAAAATAAAAGGAACTTTCTAAAAAAGGAACATTTTTGTTTCTCTTTCTCTTTAATACGTAAGTAGTTGATTTTTGATTTTAATGATTTTATATTTAAATATAATTAATAAATAATAAAGTACGTTGACAGTCTTGAGGTTTTTATTTTTTTTTTTACTTTTTTTTGTAATATAAATAATAAAATAAGTGCGCCCGGGGGGGGTCCGGACCCGGCGGACCCCCCCCTAAATACGCCACTGAGCTTAAGTTATTTGTAGGATTCCGCGAATTAGTATACTGTTATAACATTGGTACGACTAAATAAACCGCTTGACTCACGCGGCGTGTGGAAGTTTTTTAAACCTAATTTAAAATACAGGTTTTTTGTTTATTATTATTTGGTGTGGAGTTTCATAAAATAATAGTACATTATCTAACAGGCGGAGAAAGCGCTTATTAAAGCCGAGCTTAGTGTTTGCGACCGAGACGCCAGTCGAGGCAGTTGATCTGAGCGAGTCCGTACGGAAATCTATAAACGGCACTATGATTTTTGTATTGTCCATCTTTTACGGGATGAAGGAAGGAAGGCAATCTATAAATCAGACTTAACAGTTAATAGGCTTTCTTCGCTGTGTTGTATCTACTATTTTTTAAATAATTCGGTACTTATGTACTTCCATTGAAATTCTCGAGTTTGATACATTTTGTCATAGGTTTGACGTTTGACATATGTAATATTATAGGTTAAGTGTATGAATTTATACTACGGCGGTGTATAAAAATTTGAACTGCGTACAAAAAGTCGTTCTATATATGCAAACTCATAGTAAAATAATACGAATTGTTATGCGCTTGAAAAAAAATATAATTATCAAGCATTCCGTGTCTTTAAACGCTTCTCTAGAGCATCGTTGATGCATGTTTTTTTCCTGTTTTGAGCAATCTAGCCCTTGATTCATTCTGATGAGCGATCTCTGTTTACGTACATAAGGTACCTGGACCTGGCGGAACGTGAAATGGGAAAAATATTTTTTTTAACCGTGATTGGCTTTAATTCATCATCTATAGGTTTGTCAACTCTGTTCTCAATAAATGAATTCAAGTCCTTGGAATTAAACATTATTTTAACAAGCTCTTTGCACAAAATAGTCGCCATATTTTCAAATGAATAAAAGCAGAATAAAACTAAAATAAGTTTGCATCATTAAAAATACAATTTAAGGTAAACAAAATCTGTATACATCGATTTCGGTCGCGTTGCGTCAAGCGTCTCGATAGGCGCGTACTTTCTTTCATAGTTCCATCACCGTTAAAGTTCAATAACAAAAAAATCAATATCGATTCTACACGTGATAACTGTCCCAAGTGCAAATTGTGTGTGGTACCTCCCCCTGGATTAAGTCATCAAGTGTTTTACCTGGATAAAAGGTGTGAGAAAGACGATCAGTTCCAATAAATAATTTCCTGGACTACCACACGCACGGGCGGCATGCGTTAAGGATCAATTTCATCACACCTGCCTGGCAATTATCCCGAAGTCCAAGTCTGCATAAATTAGATAGGTAGTTACCAAAATTGCATGACCATATAATACCCAATAATATTAATACTAGTTAATACGAAATCCGCAACCTTTAACTAACAAATAATCCGTCAGGTAAAATTAATTATTTGCAAACAATTTCCAAGATTCCCATGCACAAAAAGGAAACATAGTCAAAAAAACTATAAACACAAGGGCACACATAAGAAGCCATTAATCACTCAAGTTACGATAAACATTAGGCAAACGAAACCATCTTAAAGAAATAAACATCTTTAGATTACTAAGACATTAAGGGGACCATAAATTAGGTAAATAACCGTTCCATGCGTAAATAAACAGCCGCACCGCACAGTGAGGCGCAAAGATGGACCCTGGAAGCATATTAGCCAATCAAGTCCCCCAAGTGAATGGGGATCACGCACAGTGGGGCAAAAATTCGAGGGTATCGGCAATTTCAGTAGGTTAAACAAAGGCGGGACAAACAGCTGCTTATGAAGTCGGTACTTGGCATGAGGGGCTGAATTTCTACGTAGTCAGAGGGCACTAGATACGGCGCACATACAGGTATTTGCACGATCTACGCGGCCAAAATTATTTTTATGCTTAATTGGTATCTTAATAACGTAAATAAATAAAAAAACTTATTTTTACAACAAAATTATGTTTTTTACAAAAAAAAATATATATTTACAAAAAATACAAATTTTTAGGTCGGTAAAAAGGAAGTAAAACATAATAATACTAAGTTTCTTGACTTTCTTCGTCGCTCTCTGATGAATTTTCTGATATATTGGATTCTGCACTTACAAACATTGCCAAGGCTTCAGGCAAAAGTGTTTTTGCTTTCTTTTTTTTACAGTTCGTATGCTACTTAGTATAGGATCTGAACTAAGTAGAAGGCAGTTAAAAATATCCTGATTACAATTTACCCTGGAAAATTTTCTCGCAAAATCTTGGCGGTATTATGATCTCCTTATCAAAATTAGAATGAAGTTTTTCCGTTTTTTGCCTTCGAACGACTTGGATGGTCGACCTGGCCGTTTTTGTGAAGTCTCAACAACAGGTATTTTAAAAGTACCTTCCAGCCAAGGCCGATTGTATTTTATAAAATTATCTTCTTTATGAGCTTTGGTCCACCTTGTTTAATTTCTGATTTGAAATTGGCCAAAAACTAAAAATTTGGTCTTCATTATAACCTTCACATGACATACTCTCTAAAAATGAATTAGTCAAAAATGACTTGTCATTGCGAAAAAACATCCACTAATAATTCTCGTCAATAGCAATTTGTATCCCAAACATTCAGCAGTCAATTTCCATGTAAAATTGTCCCCTGAATCCGAAAATGTCGTCAAAATTTGAGAAATAGTCAATTTTCCATATAATATGGAATTGACTATATCTCAAAAACTGCTCTACTTTTATGATTTTTGACGGTATTTTCGGAATCAAAAGACAATTTTACTTAAAAATTGGCTGTTAAATGTTGGGGAACATGGTATAAGTGAAAAACAGCCGCTAATAACTGTGGTAATTAGTCATTTTTGACTAATTCATTTTTAGAGAGTAAGTTGATCTTTTAGATAGTTTAATTTGGCATCTAAATTAGTTAAATTTTTTTCTTCATGAGGTCAAACAAGTATTGTCGGGTCACAATCATTACTTTTGATACACCCTCTGAGCCTAAAACAAACATCCACTATGTTAAAAGTCGCTAACAAATATTTCAAATTTTTTACGAAATTTCGCTAAATATCTTTAATCCCTCAAAACTGTATTTATCCGGATGTTTCCGGAGATGTTTTTGATAGTAGTTATAAGGAAAAAGATCAAATAATGACCTATAATAATAACCATAGCCCGATCTACCCCGATACATAAACAAAAACACTAGTAAAGAAAAAATATTGAAGGAAATAACGGTACGAAACTAAGTATTTTCATTATAAAAAAAATAATGTTGTTTAATAATAGATCATGGCTTAATCAATCTAGTTTGTAAGTTTCTTACCTTGTCCATCAGAATGCATCACTTTCAATTCGTAAGAAGAACTTGATAAAATAAAAAATCACTTTGGAAGTTTGATGTTTAGAAAAGCGCCAAGAACAGATACGTACACTATGTAAAACTATCAAATTTAGACTGGCGCTACGGGTGCGGGGTGCGCGGTAGCAGGTAGATTGAGTAACCGAATAGTTCCCGGGTTCGTACTCTCTTCATGGAACTCATTTATACGAATGTTATTGTAATTTTGATATTGGGACTTTTTGCCGCGTAGATCGTGCAAATACCTGTATGTGCGGCGGGGTGCGGCCGGCAACACTTCGGTTCTGAAGATAAGACTCAATATCGCACAGGGGGGCAAACAATTCTAAAGCGGCTACCAGGAACCGAAATCCGACTCGGACAGCGACAAACAGGAAGTACACCATCAAGGATAGGCTCTAGCAGCATACTAATCCACCTACCCCCATTCAGGAATCCCAATTGAATAGGGTTATTACTAAAGCCCTGGTTGAGGAGGATTCCGGATTGTACTTAGTTTTGGGTACCCTTCCTAAATTGGACGTATGGCCCCCACCCGGCTGACAAAAATCCGTGGAGCGGCCTTAACCATAGACACCGTCATCCACGACCTCCTTGGGTGAATATACCAGCACACAGGTAATAGTAGGTATGGCGGTAATGCTGTGATTTGGCGGGATACGCAGGAGAACGGAAAGGGGGTAAAATAACCCTGGAAGATTAGTGGAGGATAATGTCTTTGGGGCCTGCCATACGTTCCCATACTCATACTCATACAAAATCTGTATACATCGATTTGATTGGGTATGTTAAGGTAGAAAATCGTAGGTTGTTCTGGTAAGGATTAAAATTAATAATTTTTGTAAGCTACTACTACTATTTACTTTAATTACAACTTATTTCAAGCTTATTACAACAAAATAATTTACTTTATTAACAATGTAACAAATTTGTTTATATAACAAATAAATACATAAATTAAAGATATTATAATATAATACATTAAATGTATTATATTATAATATGTTTAATTTAACCATAATTTATAATATAATTATAATTATAATTTATATATTATATGGAAAAATATTTTGTTGAATTAAAGTAAAGGATATAAGAGTTGTTCTAATAGAAATCTCGGTTTGTTTCGAACAATAATATTCTTAATTTAAATTGCAGTTTTACATAACAAAAAAAAATACAATAACAAAAATATTAATATTAAAAAAATGTATTTGTTAAATTTCTTTATTCCGACCAAATTTTACTTGATGGTTATATTTATATGTACAAATAAATATACCTACTTATTTTATAAAAAATCGAAATAATTTAAATAAATTAAATCCCGGCATAAAATAGGTAGAGTATTATTTTCTACTCTCGTTTTAAGCCAACCGTGCACGGCAGGTATATTTACTCTAAATTTAGAGGTCCAAGCTTATAATTTTGCGTACAAAATCGCCAATAAAAATTAAACAAGAAAAAAAATTGTGTAACCTATGTGCTTTATTATTTTGCAAGATTGTCTACTAGAGTATTTGATATAATTCAACATAATATCGCCCGGGCTAATCTGGGCTTTTGTGTCATTTTTGGGGTGAAATTTTAGTCCTTTTAACACTATTTAAAATCGTAAATTTTGTTTAACTGCTATATACTTAAGTTTAATTTGTTAGTAATTTTGATATAATTCATCGACTGGTTTTTATTATATAGATTATCAAAAATTGCCTTTTTTCAATAAACTTAAATCCTAAAAATTCATTAACTTTGACGGGCTTTAACTTTATAATTAAAAAAGATATAACAAAAATGAAAACATATTTAAATTCCTTGAAGTTTTTTCTATATGACTGCTCTCTAAAAATGAAATAGTCAAAATTCTACTATTTGAATTAGTACCAGCATTTTTTACTAATAAAATAGTCGTTTTCACTTTTAAATAGTTATTTTTTACTACGTAAATAGTTAAAGTTTGACTAATTTAAGATTAGTCACCATATTTGACTATTTCTGACAGTTAAAAGTAACTAATTTCTTTAATCGTTTACGGCCAACAACAAAGCATTATTTGAATTAAATGCATATACCTCTCCATGGTTAAATGACCCATAAAACAAATAAAGATGCAAAAAGTTTAGCTCAAAACAGTAACACAAATAATATATTAAACTTTAAAATATTATGAACAATATTTATTGACAAATAAAATTTATTTTTATAAGAGCGGCTGACAGCCGACTGGTTATGAGGTTAGGTTGACAAGCTTCTCAAGTGACAGACGTGAGTTCAATCCCAGGCTGGGTCAAAACTTTTTTTAAATTTACTAATTTAACTATTTCATTCAGTGGAATTTGACTAATTATTAGTGACGGCTTTTTCGCTATGACAATTAGTCAAATATGACTTATAATTAGTTATTTTTGACTAATTCATTTTAAGAGAGTGCCCATCGTGCGCCGGCTAAAAATCAACCAATCGGATTTTTTTTAAATACTGTAAATTAAGTCTAGTTTAAATAGAAATAGGGGTAATGGTGACGCGCGGAGAAACCGTGCGAAAGGATTTTTGGACTTTTGGTCGCTAATAACTTATTTCCAGAACATGAAAGGGTTTATATATAATATAAATAATATTTTTTGATAAAGACTTGATTGATGAGTAACAAATGTAACGATCATAGTGCGATGAATAGAACTTTCGTCGAGGCAACATCTAAAAAAAAAATAGGATTTTTTTAACCACATTTCGCGCTAAAGAAAAACATTGTAAAATTTTGGCTTAAATAAAAATAATAAAACAATTTTTTTATCACTATTTTATTTAGCACTGCTATAACAATGGATGAAAATTTAAACACTGAAGTGACGCAAGAAGAAATTTTTGAAAATATTAAACTCCACAAAGAAGTTTTAAGTAGTGTAAAAATGCAACCATGGAATATGAGAAAAAAAATTAAACTTGTTGTTCAAGCTAAGGCTTATATTAAAAAACACGAAGGAGCACTTCAAGAGAGATTAGCTCAAAGTCATTCTACAAGAGATATGCTGGCTAGGTGGAACATATATCTAATTAAGGTAATTTTAAAACATTAGTAATTGCACAAAAAGCTTATAGTGAATTCTATCGGTCCTCCATCTATGCAGTATCTGGCAAAACATATAGACAATCCACGTCTTTTGGACGGTATATGGTGCTAATAATTAAAGTTAACTTTCGTTCACTGTGCTACCGCTGTTTATTCTGCCGCCTATAAAGGGGTCAGTGGCTTGTACAGATGTGTTCTACTCAATACGGCAACCCGCCACTGATGAGGTCCAAAATGCCTGTTGGTGCCTGGTGAGAACACATCTGTAACAAAGCACAGTGACGACAGATTATAAAAGACAGTGACGAAGTTTTCACTATAGTGAATTTCTTTGTTTTCTATTGCTTGTCTTAAAATAGAACTTTGCAGATACATATATGTAGATAATACATTTTTGGTAAAAAAAAACGTATTCTCCTTTTAAAATGTTACTTAAACCACTGGTTTTTATCCATGTACAATGTACATTGTACATCTAGATTTTGTATATATACAGGGTCTTTCCCAACCCCTCTGAAATAAAGTATACTAAATTGTACAATACAGACCGAGGCGCTAGTCAAGGAAACTAATTAATTTGCTCCTTTTTGGTTAACTGTTTAGCCAGAAATAACGCCTTTGATAAAAAAGTAAATTAATTGAAATTTTTAATTTGAATCGTCATATGAAGGTGAAAATAAAAGTCTGTACGCTTTACAATTAATCTTTACTATAGCCTATAGGCTCACTTTCAGCTCGCCCATATAGATTAATTTACAAATCTTGAAACGTAAATAACTATTATGACCTATCCTGTATCTGTAAAAGATATTTTGGATTAAAATATACATCATTATTTTATTTATTTATATTTTTTGAATATCGATTTGTTACAGTTAATTTATGCAAAATCAATTTAAAAGCAATAAATTCCAAATTGATCTAAAAATTAAATAATTTAATTATCAGGCATATACTATATTAAAGCCCCTATCACGTGGTATAGCGTAAGCGGGCCATTTTCTAAATGCTTAGGATATAAAATAAATAAATATTACTATTACTATTACTATTACTTAATGATATAATAAAGGGTGATTTAAATTGAGTTTCCACATTATTCTAAAATATTCTTGAAACGCCGCTATATTTATCAACAGCAATGTGAGATTTAAATTAAAATTATCCAAGCCCATTATGAAAATGGACGATCGAGAAAACATGCGTTTCGAACCTCTAAGTCTGCTCGTAGAGGTCGTTCGGAAAAAAATATTGCCATTGTTCGCAAAAGTGTGGCCGAAAAAAAGTACATCGATTCTTTATCGATTTCAGCAAGTTGGCTAAAAGCGAAATAGCCGGTATAGAACCCAATCTGTGCCTCAAAATTGTCGAACATTTTGACAAACGGATTACTTTACGTTAAAGAAGTCGCAGCAATAATTTACTTAATATTATCTTTCATACATATAATTAATTATAATTGTAATAAAGAACAAATATTTGTTTTTAACTTAATTTTAAATTTTCCGTCTTTTTTTAATACTTAAATGTGAAAAAACTAATTAAATCACCTCTTTATAATAATATGATATATGCCCTAAATTTCAAGGTCCACCTCGATACAAAGATAGAGTGTCCACCATACATCTATATAATACTGGTAAAGCATTTTTTTATAACTACCAAATAACATATCACCAAAATTGTTTTTCAAGTATAATTAGACTGTGTTAGTTCAAAAATCTAACAAGGGGGATTACCTAGATTGAGTACGCTGAATCTAATGGTGTTAGCTGTTTTTTTTAGGTTAGCTCTTGTTTTCGAGATATTTTAGATTTAAATTGTAGACCCAAGAACCACAAAAAACATTATTTTCCCATTTTTAGATCATTTATTAAATTTAAATTTATGAAAACAGATATATATATATTAGGGTGTGCCAAAAAAACTCGAAATAGTTTTTTTCTTGCTCTCCACCGAAAATATCGTAGAATATGTCCGAACAAATATTCTGTTAAAAGCGGAGCTCATAATTTCAATTTTAAGAGGTCCCTCATCGAATCTGAAGTTTTACCGCTTAAATAGCACAGAAAACTGACCTTTTTACCTTATTTATTCTTGCAACCTAGGAAGACATTTTTTTTTCATAAAATCCATGACCAAATCTTACAAAGCATTAAACTTGGACGAAAAAATCTTATTAAGCCGAATTTCTATTTTCATTATTTAATTTTTTACAGAGCTTTAAATTTAAAATTTTACGTTTTTTTGCCTTTTTCAGCTAAACTATTGAAGTTAGACGAAAAAGTCAAATGGTTATTTTTTAGCTTGTCTGATGGACCACAAAAAAGTTTTAGGCGATTTTTTTATATCGTCAATATTCTAAAAGTTACAGGCGTATAAAGTCATCATTTTTGTATTATTATCTTTAAATTTAAAGCTATGTAAAAAATTAAATAATGAAAATAGAAATTCGGCTTAATAAGATTTTTTTGTCCAAATTTAATGCTTTGTAAGAATTAGTCATGGATTTTACGAAAAAAAAAATCTTTCTAGGTTGCAAGAATAAATAAGGTAAAAAAGTCAGTTTTCTGTGTTATTTAAGCGGCAAAACTTCAGATTCGATGAGGGACCTCTTAAAATTGAAATTATGAGCTCCGCTTTTAACAGAATATTTGTTCGGACATATTCTACGATATTTTGGGTGGAGAGCAAGAAAAAAAAAAATATCGAGTTTTTTTGGCACACCCTAATATATATATATATATATATATATATATATATATATACACATCAAAAAAGTCTAGGGATAATCGTGAAAATTTGCAATAAAACAATTATTTTTATCAAAAAAACTCTCAATTTTTTGTAGGATATTCTCACATGTATTTTAATCATTTGTTATAATAATAATAATTTGTTAAAAAAATATTTAACAAAAAAGTTGTATACTAAATTCGAAGGTAGTGGTCTATATAAAAACTGCAAACAAAAACGCCAGAAAACTTACACTACCCTGATAAAAATATTCAGTTGAGTTTGCGAAACCATGGCGAGAAGACATTTAACGAATGAAGAAATGTTAAGACCTATTGGGATGATTGAAGCGGGTGCAACCCAACAAGCAGTTGCCGCTCAGCTAGAAACATCACAAAGCGTGATAAACAGATTGTGTCAATGCTATCGAGAGACCAACAGTGTGAATGAAAGATATCCAGGCCGAGGAAGGCTTACAACGGCAAATCAAGACCGCTTTATTGTTCTGCAGGCCAGAAGAAACCGATCTCAAACTGCATCTGAGTTGGTTGCTGAATTGCAATTGTCACATAATGTGACTGTGAGTGCTCAGACCGTCAGAAGACGATTACATGAAATAAATCTTCATGCTAGACGCCCTCTCAGGGTTCCCCCTATAGCGCAGAATCCCTATCTTGGACTCTGAACCACAAAATCCCGCTAGCTCAGATGGTCGTGGGTGAATGTCCTTCGTAACTACTACTTACCTTATAACTTTTTAAAATTGGGCACCAAGTAATTTTTTTGTGAGATTAGAATAAAAGAAATTACTAAAAAAAATTGAAGTGTATTTTACACGAAGTTACACAGTATAAAAAAAAATACTTAAATCAGATCTCAAGATAAGTTATTTTAAAGTACAAGTTATTTAAAAGTACCCTGGTATTACAGTTTGATGTTAAAAACCCTTCGTGTATATTGGCCAATGTACCCGCAGTTCACACTATTCGAAGTTTATATTAAATATGATTAAATTTAAAAAAATATTCTACCAGGACCTAATTGTTAGTGAAAGAAATGGATCTGACCTTAGTTATGTACTTTGTAATACAAAATTGGTGTACGTGGAGCTTTTCCGGTAAGAATTGTACGTCAGTCCATCCGTGTACGGTATCCAATATCTAATATCCTGGTGATCGTGGGTGACACAGGAGGTGTAACTTAAAACAATTTGATCTTTATACTTGATACAATAAACTTGCTTGAGACTTAGACTGAGGCTCTAGGCCCAGAATTAAAAATTAAAGCTCAAAACTTAAAACTTAAAAAGGTAAACGTAAAAAGTCGAAACTTAAAACCCTAAAAGAAAAATGAGCATAAGAATTTGCATCTTGGATGAAGAACTAACCTTACCTTCGAGAAGGGTTTTCTCTTCGTAGGAAATAGATCTTAATTATCTCCAAATAATATCAAAAGCGGATTGATGTAGATCCAGCAAAGTTTGGTCAGGTGAAGTTAAATCCAGTTATATCCGAAATACATCGATAGGATCCGGCACTCAAAATACCATCAATTGCCAACAAACAACATTGCACGGTTCCTAATATGAATAAACATGTCTTATATCCCTTTAATAAGGTTTCACTTGGCAGAGCGAAAAATCGACCATGTTATTCTCTGGACAACCATCACAAGACAAACCTGCTTCCGGCTTCTACATTACTTTGTCCCCCTTCGAAAACCAGACCTGCGCATATTTACCCATAAATATGTCGATATTGGAACAATATTGTTACAAAAAGAATTAATAATAAAATAAATCGACCATTACATAGCTGATAATTGTATTATACCCTTGGATTAGAAATAAAGAAAGGCCAAGATAAAAAGGCTCGACAAAAGATCTCAAATTCGAATTATGCACGAAAATTAAACCAATAGGAAAGCATCTACAACAGGTGCCGGATATATGAACAGTGTTGCTCCGTACATTGCTGAGCGATACACTTGGCAACCCCGCGATAAAGCGCCGCCTAGTGCGATCAATTCGATCCACCTTTACGTCAATACAAATGTCAACCCGTTTAAAGTAAGTAAACAATTAATAACTGAATAACTCTACCACCACAGTTCTAAAAGATGAAGGCTACATTAATAAACACGCTTTTTTTGTTTTTAGGTATCATAAGCAGCACTAATTGCTGATCCCGCCAACAACTTCTGAACTAAGATTGCAAAGTCAAACATTCACTATTTAAGACATCCAAAAGCAATAAAACAAAGGTAAGTTAG